ATTCAATCAAATGAATCAATCAACATGTAGTAAGTAGTCTTTACCATGATGTAATTTTGTTTAATTACCGACAAAATATATATCACTTGTTGTATAATTATATAAAATAAAGATAAATCAAACTGCTGGTATATTCTCCCCTAAAAGCAACTGAATGTGTGATTACACTTAGTAACAAATAATATCAGTTCATTACACATTAACAGGGAGTAGAATCAGTTCCCTTAAAAGTGAATATACGCCTTGTTAAATGATACTAGGTTAAGGATCACACTTAAAGCTTCAAAAAAAATTTAAAATCGGTTAATATACTCCAAAGCTTAGAATATTTAAATTTGACCAAATAAATAACAGCAAACAGGTATCATATATGATTGATTCAAGTTAGAAGTATAAAACAGTGAAGTTTAATTCAGTGATTTGCATGTATCATGATTACAGTAGGAATTAAAGATTTTAATTTGGTCTGTTTATCATGAAAGTGAAGTTCTGAGAAGTCTTAGATTACCAGGAAACAATTAATCACTATCTTTTATTCTGTAACAGTCTATGAGTAGAACAATTATTTTATCTAAATGAAGTTAGATTATCCCAATTAGAGAACCAAAAAAGCCTGTTTCATGCATAGCTTTACAATGACATTTCATGACTAGAATTAGATGAAATGCTTCGGAACCGTTTACCAACACTTTCTTCTTAATAGACATTCTTTCATCAATAATTGTTACTTTAAAGATTCACAATAAAACTAACTTATATTATAAAGGCAATATTCATTATTAATTCGGTTCACTTTCTAAATCAAAAATCTATTGATGTACCACACCTGTTTTTTTACAATATTCAATAAGTATTGCACTAGATTTTGGAGAGCGAAAAAGCCAAAATTTGGTTTCATAGAACCTAGAAATGTGTAGCATTGTATGCTATATATATATAATCACCTTGACCTTCAACAATGAAATAAAACCGACTTTATAATTAAAAGGACTAAGTTAAGGTTATCAAAATCAATTGACTTATATAATGAAATTAAACTAATGATATGAAAGAGAGAAGGATTAATTTCAGCTCCTTAATGTTAAACTGGTTTATAATTTTAAACATAGTGGTCAAGTAATTTAAGTGTATTACGTGTTCAACAGAAAGTAAATATGAGATGGTTTGAACTATTGTGGTGTGGTCTACTTATATCTATATAAGTAGTATATGGTGTGGGCCAGACATAGGATGTATTTTGGCAGAAGACCGATGAGCAAAGAACTGAAATGAAGCGCAATCGTCTGGAAAATGCATGAGCAATGGAATAAGAGAAGAAACAGTGAAGATTGAAACAATTGGTTGTTAATTTGCAAATTGACTGTACATTGTATGGTTTTCAGAATTTACTGAGATAGTCTGTAATCTTTGCTTAAATACATTCGATTGTCCCCAACCAGTGTTTTGTTTACTACATTTGGTGTCGCTGCCAACCGGGAGGAGGAAGGGTGCTGTTCTGGTGTTGAGGTGCTAGTTGGGGCAGTCTGGTGCGGAGAATTGGCGTCGATTGGAGTGTTCTGGCGGGGCGGCGTTGGCTGTAGCGGGTGCTGTCGACGGAGTGTAGCAGTGGGACGCGCGGCTGCTGTGCGGACATCGGATGTAGATGGCTCAGCAGGCCGGTGGAGTACGGGTGTTGAACGTCCCAGGTGCCGGGTGGATGCGGAAGTTGGTGCCCCGGCAGGTCGACGGAGCTATGGAGGTCAGCGCGCCGCAGACTCGACATTCTGACGGAGAGTTTGGCACAGACTGCAGTGAAAGAGGATAGTGGCGTGGCGAGCAGAACCACCGCATGGTCGAATGCTTTAAAGGGGGGACGAGTGTGGTCTACTTATATCTATATAAGTAGTATATGGTGTGGGCCAGACATAGGATGTATTTTGGCAGAAGACCGATGAGCAAAGAACTGAAATGAAGCGCAATCGTCTGGAAAATGCATGAGCAATGGAATAAGAGAAGAAACAGTGAAGATTGAAACAATTGGTTGTTAATTTGCAAATTGACTGTACATTGTATGGTTTTCAGAATTTACTGAGATAGTCTGTAATCTTTGCTTAAATACATTCGATTGTCCCCAACCAGTGTTTTGTTTACTACATTTGGTGTCGCTGCCAACCGGGAGGAGGAAGGGTGCTGTTCTGGTGTTGAGGTGCTAGTTGGGGCAGTCTGGTGCGGAGAATTGGCGTCGATTGGAGTGTTCTGGCGGGGCGGCGTTGGCTGTAGCGGGTGCTGTCGACGGAGTGTAGCAGTGGGACGCGCGGCTGCTGTGCGGACATCGGATGTAGATGGCTCAGCAGGCCGGTGGAGTACGGGTGTTGAACGTCCCAGGTGCCGGGTGGATGCGGAAGTTGGTGCCCCGGCAGGTCGACGGAGCTATGGAGGTCAGCGCGCCGCAGACTCGACATTCTGACGGAGAGTTTGGCACAGACTGCAGTGAAAGAGGATAGTGGCGTGGCGAGCAGAACCACCGCATGGTCGAATGCTTTAAAGGGGGGACGAGTGTGGTCTACTTATATCTATATAAGTAGTATATGGTGTGGGCCAGACATAGGATGTATTTTGGCAGAAGACCGATGAGCAAAGAACTGAAATGAAGCGCAATCGTCTGGAAAATGCATGAGCAATGGAATAAGAGAAGAAACAGTGAAGATTGAAACAATTGGTTGTTAATTTGCAAATTGACTGTACATTGTATGGTTTTCAGAATTTACTGAGATAGTCTGTAATCTTTGCTTAAATACATTCGATTGTCCCCAACCAGTGTTTTGTTTACTACATTTGGTGTCGCTGCCAACCGGGAGGAGGAAGGGTGCTGTTCTGGTGTTGAGGTGCTAGTTGGGGCAGTCTGGTGCGGAGAATTGGCGTCGATTGGAGTGTTCTGGCGGGGCGGCGTTGGCTGTAGCGGGTGCTGTCGACGGAGTGTAGCAGTGGGACGCGCGGCTGCTGTGCGGACATCGGATGTAGATGGCTCAGCAGGCCGGTGGAGTACGGGTGTTGAACGTCCCAGGTGCCGGGTGGATGCGGAAGTTGGTGCCCCGGCAGGTCGACGGAGCTATGGAGGTCAGCGCGCCGCAGACTCGACATTCTGACGGAGAGTTTGGCACAGACTGCAGTGAAAGAGGATAGTGGCGTGGCGAGCAGAACCACCGCATGGTCGAATGCTTTAAAGGGGGGACGAGTGTGGTCTACTTATATCTATATAAGTAGTATATGGTGTGGGCCAGACATAGGATGTATTTTGGCAGAAGACCGATGAGCAAAGAACTGAAATGAAGCGCAATCGTCTGGAAAATGCATGAGCAATGGAATAAGAGAAGAAACAGTGAAGATTGAAACAATTGGTTGTTAATTTGCAAATTGACTGTACATTGTATGGTTTTCAGAATTTACTGAGATAGTCTGTAATCTTTGCTTAAATACATTCGATTGTCCCCAACCAGTGTTTTGTTCATTACACTATACGCTAATGGACTAATTTGAAATTATTGTCCCATCAGATTATGATGAATATAAGTAATCGCTTAAATATATTTTGAGAATAAATTGAATTGGTGAAACTACTTTAAAAATAACTGATAAAACATGTTCTGAGTTAATGAAATTTACTTATTAAAAAGCTCAAACTGATGTGACTACACACTGGTCATATACTAGAGTATTTCTGAAATCATTTCAGAATATCTACCATTATCAATCTGCTTTTGAAACGTTTTGTGAGTTTTAATCCATTCAAAGATTAAATGAAGGAAATTAGTTTAACATTTCGGTGGTTCTCATTTCTCTAACAAGGACCTATAACCTTGGTTTTGAGACACATTATATTTGAGAGATATTAAAACCCTATGGCTATCCAAGCCTAAGTAAATGAAGCGGACAGTGAACTTATGACTTCATGGTTGAAAGTCACCTCTTCATGTAGAAAAATGTGGGAAATTGCATGATTTCCTTATATACAAAGAAAACTGATCGTCCATAAAAAAATTACGATTATTTGTAAACAATGTGGTGCCTATTGTCTCAGAAGGTACATATCAGGTTAATCATTGTATAGAAACATCATTTAGGTAAATCAAGTTTTCAATGTCTTCAGTAAAACTGCATCTTACAGTTAAAATCAATAAGCAGTTAAACATTAAGTTATCGGGAAACCATAGGTGAAGGAAACACATTTCCGCAATTCATATCCTTAGATTATGCCTGACAAACATGACGTGAATTTATTAACAAGAGCTTCTGCTATTTTACCCAAACACTATTAAAAATATTAATGTGGAGAAACTATTAATATGATTTCCCAGTGGTATTGTATAAGAATTGAACCTACATCTATTGTTTGAATTATCACATGATACAACCGAGTGTGCTTATCTGATGTTAATAGGGGGATCGCAGAGAAGCACACGAAATGACAAAAATACAATGTTGTCACTTGTTACCTTATCTGAGCTAAAAGAACATCAGAAGAGCAACTGACCTGTATATAATTATTATTTATAAGCGTTTTGTAATTTCAACCGATTGACTCAACACCAACACAACGTAATAACATAAAATTAAAATATAATACGGAAACGTTTCTGCCTTATCTATCAACAACCAGAAATACCAATCCCAACTTTTGACATATTCAATCGATAAACAATCCTAGATTTGTAGTCTATAGATATTGAATTCAGGCTCATTTTATTCCAGATATTATATACAATAATTCCTACTAGAAAATATTGCACACATATACAGTTTCCTAATATTTCCCAAAACTTTGTGACTACATTTTACTCGTACGATCCCCTTGCGTACAGTAGATATGAATTTACTAAGTAATATAATAGTAATAAATATGTTTCTTATAAATGCTAAGATATATGCATGTTATTTATATCGGTCGTATTATGGTCCTTTCTTTATCAACTGTAAATCCCCCCCCCGAAATAGGCATACAATGAAAACAAAAAATGACGAGTAACATTTAAAATGAGTTCTATCTTTATGGTCATAGTAGTAAGAGTAATAATAATAGTTGTATAAATAATGAAGATACTGATAAGAGTAATAATAATGGAGAATATAATCCTGCGAATATGACGATAATAATAGTAACAATAACAATTCTAACAACTATTATTTGTGTTTCTACACTTAAATAATATAGTGAAGTTGGATAGAAAAAAAAAGGAAATACAAGTACACAATATAAACAATACAACATGACATAGGTAAGTTTCAACGACAATAAAATACCAGTTGACAAAAATTAAAATCTCAACAAAGAAAACAACAACAATCATGAAAGAAGAGTCGACAATAGATGAATGCGAATGAAAAGATTGCTTCATTTGTATTACCCAATACGCACATAAAAATGTGACGCAAGGTTAAATGGTCTTCATACCCATACTTATTTAGGTTATACCAGCAATATATATATATATATATATATATATATATATATATATATATATGCGCGTCAGGTAGTGAATGAAAAACGAAGTCATACTAGGTTAGAAATAAGTAAGTTTGGATGAACTAATTACAAACGATTTATCACTGTTATCGACTAAAAATGAATAACTTGGAGTACTACACACATAAAAGGGAACACAACTATGATGAAAATGACGAATTGTATAATGTAGATAAATTTAAAGAAAACTTTCGAAAGGGGAAAAACACGGGAAGGAAAACATTATTGGTATAATGAAGGTGATGGAAAGACATTGCCAACAATTCTTGACGATACTTGGCTTATTGTTATCTATTATAGAAAAGAACAGAGAGAAACATTTCAACGACAGAAACAAGAAAGAACCAACGACATTTACACGATAAACGTAGTTATACATAAAACTTGAAGAAAGTAGTAAAATCTAAGGTTGATGGAAAACTACAGTTGTATAGTGAAACAATAAGTTACAATTATTGACATGTGTAAGATACAAAAAAACAGTACAATAGAGAAATAATTGTTATCCTACAAGTAACCGTACACTACATATACGTAAAACCGTATGTATACATATATACCTATGGAAACTACAGTGATAATAGAATTGATTCTTTTAGAAAATAAACGTTTCTCATAAAAAAATATGCATAAAATATCCATGAGTAATAATAGTAATCATGGTGATAGTAATAATAATAATGATGATGATAATAATAGTGGTAATAATGGGTGACGTTGTCGAAGAATTTATTATAACTATCCAATTAAAAAAGTGGAATACAACTGAACGGACATTTTATAGAGTTCATAGATGTATTTAAAAAAGTATACATCAGCTGTGTTTATATTCATATAGATGATATGAATAAAATGAACGAAAAAAATTTTTTTAGAGAAAAAAAATGTTTATCACATATTGTGCGAATTAATTCATCATAGAAAAAAAATGCAGAAGAATCGAATAATGAAATCAATTTCATGCATAGTGAATTCTGGAAATATTTTGAGCACCTTGATCAACAACAATAACATCTCTACAATTTGATAAAGTAACTAAACCAGCCAATCGTCGAAATGAGGGATCTACTTCAATTAAATATGGTTTAAAGAGGTATCTACTTCTATTTAAAGGACAAAAAATTGCACAAGTATGTGTTTGAAAGTTTGGATCTACTACAGAGAAACGGTTATGATTAGTACTACCACTACTAGGGACATTAGTAGTAGTATTAGTGTCAGCGGTAGTAGTATTACAGACAGTATCATTATTATTATTGTTAGTAATTATGTTTGAAGATACCATATTGTCATCTACTTCATGAACAGATTGTCGACAACTGGAAGTCCACAATGTTTCCGGCCAAACGACAACACCAGAACGTTGTCTATCTGAATAGGTTGCCAGGATACATTTTCCTAGTTTATCGATTTGACTATTAGCAGACTCCGTTGGTACAGTACCGAATGACACACCACCGAATTGACCACGTGATGGAGGAATTCGTGACTTTGAAGGACCACTTGAATGGAGGATTTCAGATAAACTCAAACGACCAGCATTTATATATTCCGAATTTGGATTGTCATGTGAGTTATTCAAAGCATTAAAATAAGAAGTATCCAGAGAAGCTCTTGACGGTAATGTTGAGATACGAACACGGAAATGATCATCACCTGGTTGATTTGGAGGTAACAGATCAGAGAGGAAATGCCCATCTGATGAAAATATCTAAATTAGAATGAGGATAAAAGTATTATTTAATACATCCAAAAATAATTTACAATATTTTCTCAAGTTCAGCTAAAAAATGAGGAGCATAATGATATCACATTACACAAATAAATTACATACTATACAACCAACTACATGGAAAAACAACACTTGGAAAATCAAGTCAAGAAATCGTACAAACAAAAATAAATAAGAGTAGTGAAAGTGAACAACCCTGATGAACTGTTAAGGTGATCGTCAGATTACCCAGCTTTTGTTCATAATATTAAAGCCTTACTAGTAACGGTAACCTGAAGTGCTTTTTTTCTAATTTAGTTTGTCGCTTGACATCTGAACTTTTCTGATTGCTTGCCACTAATTTTATTTCGCTGACTTTCTGAATGCTTGAAGATCATGCTTATTTTTACATAGTGAGTTGTATCACTTTGAGTCCTTCTGCTTGAATAGTAATTTTTCCATACATCTCGTCTTTTTCTTATGTTACCAGCCAATTGTTGAATTGTGTGTCAGCTGCCATTATCCATTCCCCAAGATAACCCTTCGTATTAGGATAGCTTTAGTCGTTCCTTAATTTTCAAGTATCTTAGACCAACCGTGAACCCTAATATACCTAACCACCTTTTCAAGATTTAGTACGAACGTGACTTGAGGTAGTAACTTTACATTGCACTGATTGTAATCTATGGGGTCTAACTACTAGTGTTCGAGTAAAGATTTTAAAAAATCCTTTACAATATGGTTCAATCAATAGGCACATATTTCAGTTCATGAGAAAGACTGCAAATCTCTTGATAGGTAGATTCAAATGTTGTCTTCAAATACATGAATGCAGTAACAATCAAGTATTAATATCCTTAATCTCAGGAACATGATGAAAGATAAATTTTCAATAAGTTATCTCCTTAGAATATCGTTGATGCCAGAATAAAATACTGAAATTCTACAATCCTGCCTAGAATTGTAATTAACAACCGGTAAAGGTAGTTAGTTAGTTAGTTACGCGTTTCTGTTATTCTACCACAGGATCGGTCGTAAAAACACTTTTGGAATGTCAGCGAACTTTTTAGAAATTAATGTGATATATATCCATAATACCTATTTAATAATACCTTAAAATCCGTTGACAGACAATGTAATGTAGAGAATAAAGTGTTGCAGACCTTTAATAATTATTGTTCAAAATCTGGTGAGTTGAAAGTTTGTATTTTAAAACAGTACTGTAATCAGAAGTCAAGAAACTCTACTTTTGTACGTAAATCATGAAAACTAGGATTTATAATTAGAAAAAACTTTCTTCATAATAGACGAAAAATAGCATGATAAAATTACTTAAAATATTCATTTATTTCTAATATGCACCATTGGAAAACTTGGGATACAAAAAGTGATCAAACAGAAGGGTAAAGAAAATACGACAAAAATAATCAGAAAAAGGGAAAGACGCGAAGAAAGTTGTCTATGAGAACAAAGTGCCTAAAGAATTGTGTTACATTTGTCTTTTTTTAAATTTTATGTACAAGGCAAAAATCACACTATAACTTCAATGATGAACTGAGTTATATGATATTCTGGTTACTACGAGAGAAACGACTTAACAGTAGAGATGAAACACAATCTGATTTCACAGTGAACTAACACAACCAGTTTAACAGACTTATAACGAATGATTAAAAGCTAAGCTTTATTTAAATCAACGATCTATGTATGAAGTAGGAAGTTCATTAGTATAAAGTGACAGAAGATATTAAATGAACGATAGAATTCAATAAGAATTAAGTATTAAGCATAATATTGCCTACAGAATAATGATCATTTAGTGTAAATATCATAGTCTAAGTTGGTATGTCTGAATAGTCTAGTGTTAACTTTACTATCTGTGACACGTCTGAATTTCACAGGGAAGTCATTATCTCAATATTCCAGATGCATCTTGCCGAAAGGATCCTGAATCATATCTTAACCATCCATCCCGTAAATAGCAACGCAATTTCATATTATAAAGACTAGAAAGAAAACACTACAAAGACGATTCAACAAAATATTGACTACTAATATTATCCCATTGAATAATAATTTTACTCTAGTTATTGTATTTATTATAGGACTGACATTTGAAAGATGAATAGAGATCTTTAAAAAAGAGAACTTTTGAATAGATTTAATGCCACGTTAGTTCTGCAGCTATGAGATTCTAATGTAGAATGAATTATGTTTTAAGAAAAAAGTCTAGTGATCTGTCAATGAAAACAAATCAAATACCAGTAAAATTACGGTAAAACAGAATCTTTTTTTTCATACAACTATGCATAATAAAAAATTTTCTAAAAACAAAACTTACTCGAATACACGTTCCTGTAGACAAAATCAATTCTCCAGAGTCAGCTACACACAATCCTGTGATCAATTTGCAAACTTTAGGTTGAGGTAAATGAGAACTAGCTTCAGTTCGAACTAAAGTACTGTGTCTAGTTGGAGTGCTTGCATCACTATCTGCATAAATGGATGTAGTATTTGTTCCAATAAACACGTTCACCGAACTGGTTTCAGGGTCACAAACAAAAACGCAACCAGCTCCATTATCAGCAATGAATAAACGATTAGTTAAAGGACATCTGGCGATACTAGTTGGCTCTTTGAACAAAGGACTTGACACGGATGAAAGTACCTAGAAGGAGAAAGAAAAACAGAAATGGAATATGAAGCTAAACATAAAAAAATACAGTTCAACAGTAGTGAAAGAGATTGGAAAATGAAAATTGTGGAATTACAGATATAGATAGAGAAAAAGTGGACGTAACTAAGTCAAAGCTACTGATTTCAAACTATATCATCCAAGGCCTAGGAACCGTAGATTTCAATTCCCATATGGATTCTAATAAGGAGGTCTAGATGTACCACTCTCTGTGCTATTTTAATAGGCCATCAATGAATTGAATAATACTTTATCTTTGTCCGAACTTCCTCAACCTCTCGACTAACTCCAGTGCGTTGAAGTAAAAAGATGCTGAGTAGATGCAACATGTGTTCCAAAAACTTCAAACGGCGAAGGTTTGCAGCGTTTTGTCTTTTTGACTTTCGCCTAAAACCCTAAATATACATAATATTACTTAGTGGTTCTAATAATGCCACGAATATATTTATAACTAAATTCCTGGAAATTACCAATAATTTCATACTACATATACTGAATGTCATATCGCTTTAGATTTATGAGGTGATTGAAGGCAATCGATAAGAAATTATGAATCCGAGTTTCGTCCAACCTGGTATTCGTTAAGAGTCATCAATAATCTTGAGTGAATTGGTATTTCCATTCACATCCGAACCCTGATCAGTAAGTATCATAGTGTAAATATCTTAGTCTTACAGGAGGCCAACCACGACCCAAGAAGCTCCGGATTGTGAGTTTGTGAATCGAGCTAGAATAGTATACGGAACATCAGTTCTCCTAAAGTCCCAGATGCTTTTAACTGACAAGTGCTAACTAGGGCGAAAGCTAGGTTGGGAGTATCCTGCTGATTGCTTTTAACTACCAAAAATTAAAAACAGTACCTGCATACCGAGTCACTTAGACTAGTAGCCCCATTACAGCTTGATGAACAGGATTTGAATAATACCATGAACATGACACTGATTTATTAATCAGTGTAAATCCCCTCCTGTTTAGTTAAAATATACCAATAGAAGCGCTAACGTGGAAATATCTATAGGACGGTAAAGGTAATCAAATCGAAAGTTCTCTTAAAGGTTGCTGTGATGTAAAAGCTATACATGATTATATTAATTATTAAACTGTTGTGAGTCAAGTAATTAATGTCCACTGGGTAAAATATTAGTATTGAACTCTTTTACCTGTTCAGTAGATGGGTCTAACAGGAACAGTTGCTTAGCCCGCCAATTTACAATCCATAAACCCTGAGGCGACCATACCATGCCAGTTGCAGCTTGACCAGATAATGGTTCACCGGTCACCGTGATATGAAGTGAACCATCTGCGGGATTTAGTACCAACAGACGGCTATTGCCTGTATCCAAAACGTAAATGAAATAACCAGTTATTGAACAATTATTTTGTGGGGTATTTGATGAGGCTTCAGAAGGACGAACAGGATAAGGTCCAAAAGCTACAGCAAACGGTTGAATCAATCCTCGACCGTCGGAGCCTATTACATAAATCGAAGTAAAAAATTTTAGACATGAAAATGTATAAAATAACCTGATAACTAATGACTACTAAAGAATGGCAAAATATAAATCTCGAGAACTTCATGTGATATCAGGTGCTTGTAGAAATCTTGTACAAGTCTGAAGTGTAAGGAGGTCAACGTAATGAAGACAAAAAAAACTACCTTATTAAGCTAGAGTATAATACTACGCATAGACCTTATTAGTTCAATATTTATATGATAAAAAAGAATACACACTCATATAACATAATAATAATTACATGAAAAAGCTTATGATTATCTTAATTGTCCTACTACTGGATCACAAACAAATCCATAATGATTGCACTTATGAGTTAAGTATTTTACAATCGATCATTCATACATTATTAAGAATATTGACATGTAAATGGTCTACAAATCTCTGATAAAATTAAAGATATTTTTTATTTTAATAAGTGGATTCATGAGTCGATTAAAGCTAGACTACCATGGAAAATCTGGAAGCATTGGACGGCCGTTTCGTCCTAGTATCAGAGACCTCAGCAGTGCGCATCCACGATCTCACTTACGGGATTCAAACCCAGGACCTTCGGTCTCGCGCGCAAACGCTTAACCTCTAGACCATTGAGCCAGTATATTTTTATTTGTTACAGTTAGGAAGATTAATTGAACAAATATTGAATGTTAGAAGGATAAAGAAATAATTAGTATGTTTTATTTTACAACTAAATTAAAAGTATGCTTTTACTACTATTTCTCCTATTAAATTACAGACAATTGAACTCAACTAACAAAAGTGGAATTCACTTTTGTTTTGGTTGTTCGGATCATCCGATTGATGTTTAGGACGGTAATTGATCGGTCTCTTATTGACATATATGCATCCTGTGAAGATTGCCTTCAATTTCGGCCATTACCATCTCTACTCATTAAAGTGGAATTGATAATTCACTTGGTTTATTAGAGAACGTGAGTCACAGTTGTAGACACCAAATACTCTTCACAGTAACATTCAGATAATATTTTAAGTTAACTAGTTATGAGCAACCAATCAAGATTCATTAAGAGATGTTAATTGAGAGGAGTCATGAAATCGTGTGAATGATAAAACACAAAACAAGATTTATATATACATATCCCCATAACACTAATAAGTGGATGCGCACTGCTGAGGAGTCTGGTACTAGAACGAAACGGCCTTCCAGTGCTTCCAAATTTTCCATGGTAGTCTAGCTTTAATCGACTCGTGAACTCAACTGCTAAATTGCTACAATCTCCACAAAACCCCTTTATGTAACTAGTTAATCAAGCCTAAATCCATACACATTTTGTTTCTAAGGGGATAATGATATTATTTGGAAGCTCAGAGAGAAGTAATTAAAGTAGAGTTTGGAATAGCAGGTTATTGGTTGATGCTTAAGCACTTTAAACACTAAATAAAGATCAAACTACAACTCATGCTTAATTTTTTATGTAAAATGTTACCTTGTAGTTCACAATCAAAGGTGACATTATTAAAAAGAACAAAACCATATACACCAGTCAATTATAACAATTACCACAACAATGAAGTATATATTATAATAAATAATAACACAAAACTACTACGAAATCATGAAAATGTATGGTTTCGAAAGAAAACATGTTAATTTAGATTAGAAATTCGTTAAAAATAATTTACTTTTGACAACAAATGAACGAAAGTTACCTACTTTTCTATTTAACAAGCCTGTGTTAGCAGGATGCAATTCTGACTGCTTCATGCTCAAAATGTAATGGACCGATTGGTCCATTTTCAACCAATCAATCGTAACTGACAGGTCGAGAACATACCGGAAGCTTCTACAATAACATTGTATATGATACCGTGCTTTCACTGCTCTATCTTTCGTTGCTTAGTTCGATTGGAATAACTATTGTTTCACCTTAATTCTTGTTCTGATTTAGGACGGGTTGAGAAAGGTATATTGTTCAAAGAATACTAGTTAGTAGAGTATAAGACATCTAGTTGATCTGAAGACAAGTAAAATCTTGATTAAAAGATTTATTAGGTCCATAAGAAAGGGAACTGATTTAGATGTTCAGTAAATATTTTCACAGTATCCTTGTAAATTTGGTAACAAAAGAGTAAAGTAAAATAATAACCAAACCACAAACAAGACTATAAAATTACTAAATAAGAAAAATGAAGAGATCGAACACAAGAAATGTCAAGTCGTGAAAACGTAAGCTTTAAATGTTTATGTTGTGTAAAGATATGAACAAACGTTCTCATGAAAGTGACTTATAAACCGAAATAATTAAGCATATTGAATTGCGCGAATATATCATGGATTAAAGATATACAGAAATGAAAAATGTGATGTAGAGATTTCTTTATCGAACTGTCAATTGAACTTTAGGTGAGAGCGCTAATTAATCAACCCAAAAAGTGATCCAGTATACTCCAGATAGTATGGTATTAAGAAAGTACTAACATATACGTAAACAATAATAATGGGTGAAAAAATTACCTTCTTTCAAAGACCAAACACGTTTTTGGGTCGGTTTTACATGAACACTGAAAGGTGAACCGCGAATTGGTCTGTTGAGAATTTTTACAGATAATTTATGAAGGCCTGAAAATGGGGTAATCATGCTAACCTCGTAACAACCATTTCCAATATCTAATATATCAGTTGGGACTAAGTGACCTCGTGGATCTGTAAAAGCAACTTCAATAGGATCTGTACCGCTATTTGATTGAGGACGACCATGATAGTCAACTGCTTGAATAGTGCACTAAAAAGAGAAGAAAATGGAGTTTAAAATGAACAATGTATTCACTTTAAAACATCATAAAAAACGCCTCTCAGTGAAGTTGTTTACAAAAACTGAACTGCATGCTTTGCTTATTCACAAATGTTAGGAGAGGTCAATATTTTTTGAGAAACAGTAGATGAAATTACCGTATTTAGTGATTCGAAAATATAATGTCGCTTTTGGTGTTTTTTGTGAATAAATATTTTTGTTTAGTGTGGAAAATGTACAACTACCTGAAATAATTTCTATACCCCAGACCACAGGATAGATGGAGTATTCATTTGGTAGTGTCTGCAAAAGAACATTTTGCCGTATTTCTTACTAGCACGATTTCAAATGGGACGTTAATGATTTTCTATACAAGAAAATCATTCTTCAGCACCATCACTTAAGGAAAAATATAAAAAATTAAGCCTAAACACCATGGAGATCAAGTAACACAATACAATAATTACTATCTATCTAACAAAATAAATGAACGATTGAGACTTGAGTAGATCGTAAGGGGATTCCAAAACCAAGTTTTCTGGTATACTTACTAAATTATAATTGATAATTTTGGTCTTATATACAGAAGGGATTGTATACAAATTTGTAAATATCATCAGATCGAAATATAAAATTTCTGAATTAAAAAAATAAACTACCTTTGAAAACAACCATAAAGAAAGCTATAGCTTTACTGACAGTCAATTGACTTAATAAAATCTTAGTTATTATGTTTAAATAAAATAACTTTACAAATATGTATAAATTAACAGACCACAAAAATGTCTTTGATCTTTAGTCTTAGAAAAGAATTTCTAACTGGAATAAAAAACTATTAGGTTTGTGGGTTGAAATTGTGTTCAGATTTTTTTATAGTCATAGCTAAATTATTCCAACTTAAACATGTAAGTATCCGGAAATTTGAATAAAGGAAGTAAACGAAAAAAGTTTTTTAATAAAATAGTTTTACCATGTACAGGTCGGTCAATTCAAGTCAACATAAACATAGTAACAGTTCAGAGATGGAGATAAAAAAGTGTCTCATGTCTGAAATTACTTATAATTTTAATATCTGGTTATGCATGCTTCATCAACAATAGAAACAGAGCTGTCCTATGGAAATTATGAATAAATTCAATTGTGACCAGTAAAAAAAGAAGGAAATTTTCAGGTGGCATAGATAATGGTAGGAGACATATTGGTCTGGGGAAAGAAAGGTAAATATAATTTCTGAAATATCTCTAATTCAATAACAGATTGAACATAGAGCATAAAGTTTGCTAAAAAAAATATAAAAGTGTGGAGAACAGATGTTGTAAAACTTATTATCCCTTGATTAGTGAAATCTATTAAATAAAGAAAGGCCCCAGCACTTTACACGAGTTATCGGTTGTACTTAAATAATATTACATTTACCGATAAGAAAGCAAACATTGTTGAGTGGTTTTTTGAGGGTACTGGGTTAGATCTCGTGTGCACAGAGTAATAAATAGTCTAACATACGGACGAAACAGCTGTTCAGTGCTTTCTAGTTTTAAATAGTTTTCCAGTTGATATCAGTTTCTAATGAAAAATATTTCCAAATTATAGACTCTTTACAAACAATCTCTAATTTATTAATGGTTTCTGCTCGTTCACTAGTGATCAGCTCTAAAAGTTGTAATTACAAGCTGTAATATGCGGAGTTAGCCAAGTCAAAAACGGGATAGTAACTTGTTGACGAAATAGGAGTTGTATATTGCGAATCGATAAAAGTTCACAATATGGACCGGTGGATGACGACATGGTAGTCAAAATGTAACGTGGTTGGAACTAAATCCAAAGGTCATTGCTAATGTTTGGTGCAACTTATTTATCAACTACAAGGTTTATGTACTCAACTGAGGCACAAGGTTTTTGTGAGGGCTGATGATACTACCTGGGTACGTAAGCCGGAGTAGATGGAATGGTGTTCAGACATATAACCTCCTGGTTGAAAATCAAATGGTTGCACCAACGAGCCACACCCCTACTTGGGATTGAGCATGTATGTTGTAAACTTAATCCCGTATGGAATAGTGGGTCCACAATGCTGAACACAGCGAAACTATAATGAAATAATTTTCTAGTGCATCTTAGTTTTTACTGGTTTTCTGTCTGATGTAGTTCGTAGTGAAAATCATACAGACAAAATCACCCTAATACGACAACATAACATAAACAGTCATGTTACCCTTTCACATGCCACCTACACACATACTGTTATACCTGGAATTTCTTAAAAAAGGAAATAACTAATATTTTAAAACGTAAGAATAATCCAATTACTTTTTTATTCGCAAAGACAGTAAAAATCTAGACAATAAAGCAGACAGTGTGCGAATAATATGCGACTGGCCCTTTGAATAATGCTGATAATGACAAGTTTAAGACTAAACGTGCCACCAACTAGAATAATTATGATTTGAAAAGTTTAACTAGATTATAATCATTAAAATTGCTAGCAATGAGATGACAGCTTGATTTCTCACAATTATAGTGTATAGTGTAAAATATTGATGATTTAGTTTGATCCAAGTGATAATATTGTCAAGATTATTCTACTGTACAGGACATTTATTTTATTTAAACACATAAATATTGGTACAAGGAAGCACCAGATACATATGCACCATATAAATCTCATTCGATTTGCTTGAGGGCTGTGATACTGCCCAGGTGCCCGAACTGAAGCAGGTGGTTTTCTTAGGGGCCAACACTTGGAGCCTTTGACCGAAAGATCTGATCCACAAGGCAGTGGAGCATCGTGAGGAGATGCAGTCCCATGGTAGCCGGTGATCAACGATTGATTCGTACGCCATTTGTTCCCTGAGGATACTGGAGCTCATGTGCACCATTGGTTTGGAATCAGGGTTTTCCAACTCCCCTAGATGGATCCTCCACATCCACCGACCCGGTTAAAGCGCCGGACATTCGCTTTTCGTCCTCTCAATTTCGTAAACAACACCCCCGCCACGAGAAGGCAGTGAGTAGGACTTCCCTGGCAGAAGCTATATATTCGCTGGCCATGTGAGAGCATTTCGAGAGGGAGAGCGTACTCTCCCCACTCTCGGTCGTACCAGGGCATTTGGGGGCAGGATAAAATGTTCATAAACAGACCCAATGGTGATATCTAACTTTAAGGACAATTGTATTTTTTTTAAATTACGAGAAAATGTTTCAGAAGGAGATAAATATGTGAAAATATGAAATAATAATAGGAATAAACATTTGAATATCAGTTCCAGAAACCAGCGTCTTGATTTCCATATTTCTTATCTGAGCAAGTAGAACGTTTGACTGGTATCCAGATCTCAGAAACAACTCTTTCCTATATAACGTTTAGGGGTTTGTTGTGTCTTTAAAAAGAAATACTTGAATTGCTTTAGGCCGCATGTAGTTGGGACCTGTATTATGAGAGCAGTCATGTTATTTGGTCCGATTATCGACTGATCCGCCTACATCGCCCGTAGGACCGATAACTCTACAACGGCCGGGAATTTAACGTCTTCGAGATTCTTGAGATCCAGTGCCCAAAAAAGAAGGTTAAACACAGATTAACTCACTATTGTACTTAATTCATTTATTACTCAAAACCCACACAAATGATACACTTCAAATACGTGATCGCATACCAATACAAATAAGAAATTAAAATGTATGAACAACTCAGTCATGAGTGATATAAAAACGAAACAATTAATCAGTAGGTATAGCTGGAACAATAAAGAAACCTATCAAAGGTTTATGGGTCAAACAAACGCTTACAAATATCCGAATATAAAAATACGATTATCCAAGAGTTTAATAACCGTAAAAATACAAACGAGAATTTCTCGTAGGAAAGTTCTGAAAGTTTAACCTTACACAAGTCCTCTTTGATATAACAGTTTTTATGAACGAAATTTCTGCTGTCAAACTCAGTGAGCACAATTCCTATCAACCGATGATATGCAGTGATACGAAATGGCTGAGTGATTCCTGCTAATGAAAACGAACGACTAACACAAGCTTTCAAATGATTTTAAATTAAAAACAATCGGAAAAATAGATGTTTTCGTATAAGAAAGCTACATGCTTATATACAAAGTACACTTCATAAATTATAAACTATTGGAGAAAAGAAATTTGTAGATCACTCGCTCTTGAATCATTTGAGATCTTGCCCATTGTATCAATAACCAGCCAAACATGTCATCATCGGGCTACAATATAACATCGTTAGGTAATGCAATACATACGAAAATATACAAGTTTTTACAAATCTTCCTCATTGTTTTAAAAGTACCTTAAAGATGAATGCTACCATGAAAGAAAACTATGTCTGAAACCCTTAATTAACTTTAGACGAATACTTGTAAATATTGTTGCATTATTTAGGCTAATGATTACATGTGTGCTAATATGATCTAATGAACATAGTTTATACTGGAAAATATTGGTATATATTAATTACATTTCCTACAAAAAATCGATGTAATTATCAGTTTTTATAAATAAAATGTGAAGTCACATATTAAAAGCATTTTAAAAGAAAAAAAGTACTTACTTTAGCATACAGATGGGTAAACATTTCATTTGGTAAACGAGCAGTACATAATGCAGGATAGGTTGTACTAACAACTAAACGACCAAAGCCAGAAAGACAACGAGCAATATCAGGAAGGCTAACTTGATGAGGAGAAGACTGAAGAGTTGTCGTAGAAGACACATTCGATCTTTGATGATGATTACGATGATGAAGTGAAGAGGATGGTGAGTCTGATTCATTATAATTTGTAACTGATGCTCCTGAGTAGTTTCCTGAAGAAACTGATGGGGATGATGAACATATGGTGCGTTTTAAGGCAGTACAACACATATTTATATGATTATGCTGATTGTATGGACCGACACAGTCTTGATAACAAAGGAAGGCATTTTCACGAGGTTCAGTTAAGCCACTAATCGAGTCCAATTTATCATTTAGGTAACTTATTGTTTTCGTAATACTTCGTACATCCATCTGAAGGTTAAAAGAAAAGTGCAAAAAGTACACGGAAATATTATCATACTAAAGGTTATGTAATTTAGACGTATAAACTTTAAATTGATTGGAATAATTATGATATATTGTAAAGCCCATAAACAGAACGACAAAGAGCGATCTAAGTGAATAAAACTGATGGTGGTTAGACATTAGCCTAAAATAAATGGAAAGTCAATGACTTTTTGTTATATTGGCTCCACCGGTCAGTGTATATGAAGTAACTTTTGAATAAACATATCGCTTAGGTTACGTAATTATCCACAAATTAGTGATCTACTTGGTGAAAAAAAGTTTACTAGTTAACTATGAGGTCTTCTGAAAAGTAATTAATTGGAAGTTGTACTGAGTCATTATTTGACCAACAGTATGTTACACCGATCGAGTAGTAAAAATCTGATCAACTTTATTCATCATTTATCAAATCGAAATGAACGAATAAATAGGGTACGAAATTTGAAGGAGAAACATACAGAAGATAGTTTTTACACCTGCAAAAAACATAGGAAATTAAAAACCGATTTGTCATTTTGATAGTATTGTTATGAAATAACACATTACTTTCAGTAGCTGTAATTTAGTGTGATTTTGACATCCACAGTTATACAAAAGCTTTTGTCTTTGTTATATCCCGAAGAGGGTTATGAGTGGTAACTTTTGAGAACTATTTATGGACCAATATGATACTTATATTTTTTGTTGTATAATTGTTAACTAACTAAACTATTCATATTCGCGCCCCTCTTATTATAAGCTCTATTTTGACCCATAGACTATTATTATACGATTTACCTTTCTTGAGGTATCCTCAGTCTATTAATTACTGTTCCCCACATTCACAGCTACATTTGACCAAATCTTGTACAAATGTTATTTTTTATTTTATGGTAAGATGTGGTCTGTCTGGTTGGTATGTAAACCCAGTATGTTTGAGAATAATGATTCATATTGCAGAGGTTGTTATTGGTGTTTCGGACTTAACTGGCTGGGATAGGCAGATAAAAGGGCCGACAAGTGCTCTAGACTGCTCGTACGAGTTTTTTGTGTCACTGGTTCGATCGATAAATCGTTGCTCTCTAATTGGCGACATCGTCACGTCATATATTCACCGGATACGCAAGCAGGCAACAAGTTATAACAGTCTTGTCGATAAATAAATGAATCCTAACTTCAATTAATTACTGTAAACCAGGAGGACTAGTGAAAAGCAAGGAAGGCAAGGTGATCACCAACATTGAAGAACAGCGAAACAGGTGGGTAGAACACTTTAAAGAACTCTTAAATCAACCAGCTCCACTGAGCCCACCCAACATCGAAGCAGCACCCACAGACCTCCCAATCGATGTTGGCCCACCAAAAATTGAACAGATCAGTATGGCCATTAGACAAATCAAAAGCGGCAAAACAGCGGGACCAGACAACATCCCTACAGAGGCACTGAAAGCAAATGTAGCAGCAACTGCAAAGGTACTCCATATTCTCTTCAGTAAGATTTGGGACGAAGAACAAGTACCAATAGACTGGAAAAAAGGATTTCTGATCAAGATACCAAAGAAAGGCGATCTCAGCAAGTGCGACAACTACAGGGGCATAACTCTTCTCTCAATACCAGGAAAAGTCTTCAACAGAGTATTGTTAAACAGGATGAAGGATTCCGTAGACGCCCAACTTCGAGATCAACAAGCTGGATTTCGTAAGGATAAATCGTGTACAGACCAAATTGCAACTCTGCGGATCATTGTGGAACAATTAATCGAATGGAATTCATCACTCTACATCAACTTCATGGACTACGAGAAGGCATTTGATAGCGTGGACAGGACAACACTATGGAGGCTTCTTCGACACTACGGCGTGCCTGAGGAGATGGTCAATATCATACGGAATTCCTATGATGGATTAAACTGCAAAATCGTTCATTGAGGACAATTCATCGACTCATTCGAGGTAAAGACCGGTGTCAGGCAGGGTTGCTTACTTTCACCCTTTCTTTTTCTCCTGGTGATCAACTGGATCATGAAGACGTCAACATCTGGAGGGAAGCACGGGATACAATGGACAGTTAGGATGAAGCTAAATGATCTAGACTTCGCAGATGATCTGGCTCTTCTATCACACACACAACAACAAATGCAGGAGGAGACGACCAGTGTAGAAGCAACCTCAGCAACAGTAGATCTCAACATACACAAAAGGAAAATTAACACTCTCCGATACAACACAGCATGCACCAATCGAATCACACTTGACGGAGAAGCTTTGAAGGATGTGAAAACCGTTACATATCTGGGCAGCATCATTGATGAACACGGTGGATCTGATGCAGATGTGAAGACGCTGATCAGCAAAACAAGAGCAACATATTTACAACTGAACAACATCTGGAACTCAAAACAATTGTTAATCAACACCAACATCAGAATTTTCAATACAAGTGTCAAGACAGTTCTACGGTATGGGGCGGAAACTCGGAGAACTACGATAGCCATCATCCAGAAGTTGCAGGTGTTTATCAACAGTTGTCTACACAAGATACTTCGGATCCGTTGGTCAGACACTATCAGCAACAAGCTACTGTGGGAGAGAACAAACCAGATTCCATTGGAAGAAGAAATCATGAAGCGCTGGAAGTGGATAGGACACACATTGAGTAAAGCAGCCAACTGTGTCACAAGACAAGCCCTCACATGGAATCCTGAAGGCTGAAGGAGAAGAGGAAGATCGAAGAACACATTACGCCGAGAAATGAAGACAGACATGAGAAGAATGAACAAAAATTGGATAGAATTAGAAAGGAAGGCCCAGGACAAAGTGGGTTGAAGAATGCTGGTCGGGGGCCTATACTCCATTGGGAGTAACAGGCGTAAGTAAGTAAGTAAGTAACTTCAATTAATTTCCACTATTGTATAACAACCTCACAATGATATTTATAGGTGCCTGGCGCACACTCGACATGGTTGAATTCCTCTGATCACGACTTCTTATTAGAACTGTGGTAATTAACTCTTGACATTATTCAACTGAGCATATGATTATTATTAGTGTAAGAGGTCTGAAGAAATTTTTAGATCACGAACTGACTTTAATTAGACAACCAATGAAAACCAGAAGTCAGTCAGCTACAGCGCAGGACCAGGCACAAATATACATCGGTCCAAGTTGCCATACCACATTAGCACAGAGATGCAGTTGCCGATTCAAATCCCATAGTGGTAGAAGTAGTGAGAGTATAAGCAGTAATCCGAAAGATTAGGGTTTGAAGATGTTATTCAAGGAGTATAATACAATGAAATAAATTTGGAAAGAGAAAAAGGATACAGACATGAAGAATTCAGAGGATTAGAATTTGGAAGAACACAAAGAGTGGATGCACCTTCGCCATTGCAAACGATTTTGAGCCATGTCATTCAAGGTCTCTAACCATCGGTTGCTATCATCTCGCGAATCCCAAACAGGTAGTCTACACCTACCAACATGGCTCAGTTCACTTGTCAGTGACTTCATGGATTTATGCCATGTTTTGGTCTGTCCGCCCCAAGCTTTCTTCCAACCTGCTCCTACACCATAAAGCATTGCACGTCGGGGCAGTCGGTGGTTGGGCATACGTAACACATGTCCCAGCCATCTCAACTGATGAAGTTTCACTACTTCATCAATCGATTTTTCATCCTTACCTAGTACCCGTTTCCTAACATCTGCATTACTTACTCAGTGGTCCCAGGATATACGAGCAATGCTTCGAAGACACCTATGATCGAATACTAGTGGCCTACGAATATCCTCTACTCTTACCGACCATGTTTCACTACCATAAAGTAGGACGGAACGAACTGCTGCACAGTAAACCCGTTCTTTTGGTTGCTATACGGATATCTCTCCTACGCCATAAATGACGCAAGTTGGCGAAAGCTAGACGAGCCTTCTGTATCCATGCTGATTTTGTCACACACTAGACCACAAGGGCTGATGAGACTCCCAAGATAAGTGAAGCGGTCAACACGTTTAACTATTTCACTCCCTATCATTAGTTAGGGTGCCGATGCAATTCGATCCTTTTCAGGTACCTCTAGAAGGACCTTTCCACGTTGTCGGCAACCGGGAGTTGATAGCCGCCCTCATACTTATAACAGCACTCAAGATCACTGTATTCATAGTCAATCTCCTTCTTCAATTCCCATTATTCTTCCTACCTCGACTTTCAACACTAAACTTTCTCTTTCGGTTTCCTCCTCAAGTGTCACTGAAAACCAGAAAGCATCGGAGGGCTATTTCGTCATATTATAGAACTCTTTAGAGGTGAGCCGAACCATCAAAATTTGACAATCCTCCGAAAAAAATTACGTAAAAAAATACTACCTGTTATTAATATACAAAAATAGTCTTACTAAATACATTGTGTTCTGGTGGCTTAGATTAATCACTAATACCATAACTAAATAGCGATGATATCATTCGATACTTATTAAGTCTACTTTGTCTTTCTGTTTGTGTTTTAAACAGAGGTGAAATAATTTCTATGATATTTGTGAATTTTTCTTAGTTTACAGGGTTACAGTTAATTATTATTATTATTATTATTAATGGCTTTATTCAATATTATAATCTGGTACAATATAGAATTCTCAGCACGAGTTATTTCAACAAGTTTTTTACCAAAAAAGGAAACCCGAAAAAACAAACAAACAAAAAAAAACAGAAATAAAATTTAAAAAAAAAGGTCTAGGAAAAACCGACTTTATACAAATTATCGAATTTGAGACATGCTTAAGAAGACAGGTTATTTACTAGGTCAACTCTAACAGCCTGTTCGTCACAAAGTAAATTTGCTAAGTAAGGTATTACAGAACTTTTATAGATTTGCTTGCGTGCATGGATTTTAATGTATTTACGTCTCGTTCTACCAGAAGATATACAAGGAGAAAGATATGAATGAAGCGGATGGTTAGTATCTGATAAGATAACACCTGCCAAGAGTTTGCAACACTTAAGATGTCTATCCACAAGCATATTAACAATGACTTCAAAAGATTCACCACATACCTTGCAAACCGCCTTCAGCATTCTACGCAAAATAGCAAAGTCTTTTCTCAAAAGCCCAGGAAAGAATAATGGAGAACAATATAAAATAATAGGTAATATGCAGGAATTTACAAATTGTAAGAGTAAATGGCGAGTAATCCCAAAAGCATGCAGCCTCTTTATGTAGTATGTCAAGCGGTAAACTTTTTTCGATAATAGTAAAACATGAGAAGACCAAGAAAGATCAGAGGAAAAAGTAACACCAAGATATTTGACCCTCGACACTGTGTTTATTAAGGAGTCTCCAATGGCACAAGCATTATGGGATCCCAACATAGAGTATAGGTTCTGTCCATGTCTCAAGCTAAAATTAACAGCTTGACATTTAGATGGATTGAGTAAGAGACCATTACCAACAGACCACCTTTCAATACGAGATAAAAACTCATTCATTTCTATAGGATGTAAGGAGGTAGAAATTGGCATACATACAGTGAGGTCGTCCGCATATTTTACAAAAGTGTTTTCTGTGGAAGATGGCAGATCATGCAAAAAGAAAGAGAAGAGCAGAGGTGAAAGAACAGCTCCTTGTGGCACACCTACAGTAGACAGTAGAGATGTTGAACACTTTCTTTCAAATACAGTGTACTGTTCTCTTCCAGAAAGGTAGGAGCGTAGCCAATTGGTTATCCAGCTGTCAGTGTCGATGCGAATCAGCTTGTTAAGTAAGAGATGTCTTGGAATAGAATCAAAAGCAGAAGTAAAGTCCAGAAAAGCGCATCTAACATACTTCTTACCCTTTTCCAACCCGAACACTATATTGTGATGCAGAACAGCAACGGCATCTAATGTGCTTCTTTTGCATTTGTAAGCAAACTGAAATGGATCACAGTACTCTTTTATTGAAGGTTGAAGTGGTTGTATCAGTAATTTTTCCATTATTTTGAGGAAAGGTGAGGTTATTGCAATGGGTCTAAGTTTCGCATTTTTATCACCAGAAGCTTTCTTAGGTATAGGGATTATCTTTATCTTTCTCCACATTTTCGGTAAGACATTAGTTGAGAAGGATCTGTTAAAGATATTTGTTAATGGATAACATAAAACATCAGCACATTTTTTAAAAAGGAGGTTTGGGATACCATCAGGTCCTAAACATTGAGATGAATTCAGAGACTGGAGACATTTCCGGACATCATTTTCAGTAAAACTGGGGACACAACTATTCTTCAAACCCTTGGATATAGGGAGCATGATGTCAGATGACTGATGAATAAAGGACTTATTTAAGTCACAAACATTTAGCTGGTTTTCGCTTCTAGTCTGCCTGTCCCCTGTAATTTCTTTAAAGAGTTTCCACATACTTGGAGAGCTTCTACAAGATAGGAGTTTTTGAGTGAACACACAGTTGAGACGTCTAATCTCTTGGTTTATTTGATCATTTAACTTACGAACTTCAATAGTGTTTTTCTCCTTGTACATCCTTTCTTTTACCCTCCGTAGTCGTTTTAGTTGTGGAGATGTAAGTTGATCAAAACTTAAAAAGAAGGTTTCGGTAGGACAGCAAATATCAAAACAGAATTTAAGATAAGAGGTAATAACATCCGTTGTGTTTTCTATTGAGTCATCTGTAAGTACTTCCCAGTTGGTCGTACGAAACATGTTTTTCAGATTTTGTAAATTTTCTTCTGAGTAACTCCTATATATTACTTTTTTGGTATGGAGTATGTGTGTACTCTTTCCATGTTTACCATATACTTTAGGCAGGACACGAATTATACAGTGATCCGAACTAGACAATGGAGCACGTTTGCGAGTCACATAGGCACCCACATCATTAATGAAAACCAAGTCTAGATGAGCATTCAAACGAGTAGGGAAATCTACTACATTTAGGTGACCTAGTGATATAAGGAAGCTACAGTCACATGAATTGAAATCACCACATATAATTGAAAGTGAATCACTGAAGGCAGTAACGGCGAATTCAGTAAATTTATCAGTGAAGACAGATAGCGCAGATGATGTGCAATCTGGAGTCATGTAGATATTGGTAACATAAATATATTTGTATTTATTCAGGTGTTTTGGACGGCACCTTAAAGTTAGACAGTCAATAAAGTCGTTTGAAAACTTGAAACAGGCAAAAGTAGATCGACACCAGTTAACGTTTACAAAAGTAGCTACTCCGCCACCACAAGTCTTTTTATTGTTTGATCGATCCTGACGATAGATATTAAAATCACGTAATGACACTAAGCAATCATCCTGTAAGTCAGTTAACCAAGATTCTTGAATTGTGATGACACCACAATTACGATACATGTTTTGACTTAGCAGAAATTGGAGATAGTCCACCTTGTTAATTAGTGATCGACAGTTAGAGTTAAGTAGCTCGGGAATCGACATTTGATTGATGTTTATTCTCTTTAAAGCATATTGCCAACCACCACGATGTCTCTTATTGTGCTTGTTTGTAATTTTTGCAGCGAAAGGACGTAAGCTTTTTATAAACGCGCCTGTGTAGGTTATGCGATTAATAGACATAATGATAGGTTAAAACAAATTTTAAAAAAAACCAGATAACTTGTTGAAATATTTAGATGGCAGAAACAGGTAGCCCAGGTATTCAAGCAGGCCGCCACCACCTACTTTTTTATAACAGTTGGACAGAACTTCTAGTCCTTATACGATCGATTTAAAAATTTGTAGATATTAATTTCCCGCTATTTGATAGTATGCCTGTAACTTGGTTTCGCAGATCTTTCTTTAAAGTTGTACATGTGCAGTGACGATATTATGATGTAGACATTTTGGGTCAGCCAGTTAACCAATATCAACAAGAGACTTGATATTAGTTAATCAGCTCTAGAACCCACACTTCACATCACATCAGCACAGTGGAAAGAAATTAACAAGATGAAAAGTACAAGATGGGGAAGTAATATTGAAAGCAATAGAAATCTAGATATGTGTAACACAGTTCAAGAGGAACAAGCATGACTGAAGATTCGAGGTGAGCGATGACAAGGAATGTTGATGAATTCTGAAATACAACCTTGCAAACAAATATCACTCGAAATGTAAAGATATCAAATAGGTTGACCACTAACTGATTTTATGACCGTAGTTTTAACATTAAGATAACTTATAAATTATTCTAACCAATCAAGTGAACAGTTTATGCATTACACGTAATCGCTCAAGATTGCCAATTAGAATTAGAATTAGATGTGAAGAAACGATATGATGAAATTAACTAACTATTGTATTATTAATGATAAAATAATAAATGGGGTGACCAACTTCTTATCTTATAATAAAATACTGCCTAAAATGATACGATGTGTGGACGTACATGAACAATAAACCAGAATTCTTGTCAATCATGTTTCATACAGTTGAAATTTATTGTCAATAGTGTGGATAGTACGTTTATTCAGTTACAACCCTTTTGTGCTAACATTAGACTGAAGGATGTCTTAGTATATCTTTTAATTAAACAAGCTTAAATTAAGAGATGTGATTGATATTAACCCCAATTTTTCATCTCATATATGACTCACAGTTTAGTCTATGAACGTTTAAGTAATAACGAAACTGATTTACTTAGAAGTGTACCTACAGCCTAGTAACCTAATGCAACGTTATATGAAAAAAATATTGGATGATACTAAATGTTAAACAATCGAAAACAAACAAGTCAGCCAAAATGACTGGTCGGCCAGTAAATTTTGACAAGAACCGAACAGAATAACTGGGGTATTGTTAGTTAGTAAGTTATGGAACAACTAGACAAAAGAGGATTACTTACAACGCCTTTTAAACGATCACATTCTGTACGAATTAAGTCTCTTTCTGTTTCAATTAGAGAAAGTTGATCTGTTAAGGCACGTCGTTTCTCTTCTCCAATTCGTTTTACACAGTCTAATAATTCTCCTTGACGATGTTCAACGAGTGCCAATATCTCAGAAAAACGTGAGTTAATAGACTAGAATGGACGAAATAAATAATAACGGATTACGTATTGAGAGAACCAGAAAATTTAATATGATAAAATGTGAAAACATTACGGACCTATGAAGGATGATAATAATCAGAAAGATAGGAACAGCACTAGCTGACCATCTTATTTATTTATTTGACCACTTAAATATTGATACAAGGGGGCACCAAATATATATGCGCCACACAATAACAATGAGAATACGAAGAGAAAAAGGATGTAACATGCGTATAAGAAAGAAGAAAAAATAGAACAATAACGACCACAGATTAGTGTATGGAAGTATAATAATAATAATAATAATAATAATAATAATAATAATAATAATAATAATAATAATGAAGGAAACAGAAAGGTACAACCAGAAGAACTCTCACAGTTAAGGAGGTTATGACCACTCTTTATGCAGAAAGTAAAAGAAGGTTACAGCACGATCGCCATTGACTTCAATTCTGAGCCATATCTGATAACGTCTCTAGCCATTGTGTAGCACCATCTCTCGGACCCCAGCCAGGGAGTCGTGAAGGACCAACAGAAGCCAGCCCTTTGCAGCTTTCCTTCATAACACGACACCGTGTCATACACTGACCACCTATCCTCATTTTCCAACCAGTTCCAGCGTCGGCAAATGATGCACGACGACCATCTACCTGTTTTATAACTAGTTTGCATCAATAAAGAATGATTGATTTGATAGTCAATGAGATAGTGCGAACAAAAGCATACAGGTTACAGAAAAATGCGCGATAGAATGATTTCACTTATGAAGAAATGATCTCCACTGTCTTTGAACACACACTATATAACCTTAACATTACTTTTAAGCTGATATCAATGAATATGAACAGAATTATGAAAGTATCAGAAAAATTACGTTATCCTAGAACTACAACGTTTCGAAGACGTTAAGCTTTGAAAAACAGTGTTACACTTTTGATTATTAGGGCTCAAATTGACGTTATAACTGTATCGAGAGACAGTCTATATTGGCATACACCGCACTAGCTTTATCATACGGAAATTAGTTGGATATTTTACAATCAAAATAGCAATCACACTACCTTAAAACGCAGGCCTCTTGACTACTTGCAACGATATATCGGCCAATCTGAATATAAGTGAAAAGATGTTGTCCGCATACTTGATATGGAAGATTGTTCCAAAAAGTAATAAGTTTACGTTGTTACTATAGACCTATAATTCTGTTCTTTATCAATGATAATCAACAGCACCTACATTTAGATCAGATGATATGAAAGGGGAATATATCCCGAAGCATTCGAGAAAAATGCAACCAAAAACCAAATGAAAAGGGTCAAGGTTATCCGTACAGCTTAGTGTTTTCAGTGATTATGCCAAGAATTATATTTGAATTTTCTGCCAGCCACTACCACCTTAAAAATTTTAAGAGCCGTTTTGATATTTAGCTACAAATCTCCACTATCTTAAAGGTAATATTATCAGGTGTTGAATTTGATTTCGCTTAGCGCGGTCAACACTAATAAAACTTTCTATAGAAATAAATTCAAAGAGAGATTTCTGTTAAACTAAAACCAACATTGTAGACGTTTTATTGTTTCAAGTTGAAGAGAGTTGACAGGACACAACAAACTACTATATACCAGTAAACGTAAAATTCAAACGTTATACAGAACTAATATTACACATGATACATTAGTATTCGGATTGATTGATAGTCACACTACAGTAGCTTAAGCTCCAATTGAATCATTAAGAACAAGTATTGTTTATATTACTGAGTTGTCTGTGTTAAATGAAGGTAAAATACAATGTTATAGCATTTGTATAATAACATGTAAACACTATAATGAATGTTCATGAAGGATGAAAACTAGTTAATTATGACAGATTTTACTCATAAAATTAAATTATTTTCTCGTAACCCTCAACAGCTGGAGATTCATTTTATCCAACACGAAGTTGAATGTTTTTTTTAAAAATCTGACGACTTACTTCAACACATGAACTAGTATTATTTGTTAAACGTTCTAGTTCATTTTTTACGGCTTCTTGAGCACAATTTAACTCTTGAGTACATAAATGCATTTTATAGAGCATAATTTCTGAACAACGTTTTAGTGCAACATTGAATGTGATCACATTATGATTTAGGCCAGTATTCGACGATGAACTTTCTACTTGTGTAGAAATATCTTGATTTCCATTGTTCACTGCTAAACATGAAGAATCTAAAAAGTTAACAAATTCATTTAAAGGAATTATTCTTTATTACCATTCAAATGATTTTGAATAGCATGATTACGACCTCGGCATTCACTGCAAAATACCATATCACAAGTCTCGCAAAATAATAGTTCTTGTGATGGATGTATACAACATTTAGGTACAACATCTCGACGATGGGTAGCAAGTAGGTCTAATAACTGATTTACTATAAAAGCCGGAGGAAACGAAGCTGCACCACCTGATGGAATAGCAATATTCTCCCGGCAAATTGGACAACGAAATGTCTCTGACTGAGTCTATAAAAAAAATAGACATGAATTCGAAATTACTGAGAGCAATCGTTCTTTCTTAATAACACATTGTGCAAACAATAGGAACAAACTGATATTTGTTTTATGCATTATCTCTTATTACATAGTTAGCATTACATCACAAAATATTAGTACTTCCTGTAGATAGTAAGCATAATCAAATGGAGTAGGTTGTGTTTTAGAAATAACTTTAATTGCATAGTTGTGAGAAACATAAGCAAACTTATATGAAAACGCTACAAACACAATATTGTTTCGATGAATTTTTGTATTCGGCACTTACCAATGGTGGGTGGTACGGTTTGTTATAGGTAATTATCTTATTGTCCACAAATGTCCTAGTACGGCAGAGGGTGAGGAGAGTCTGCTCTCCTTTTCGAAACACTCTCATATAGCGACTGCCAAGGAAGTCCTGCTAACTGACTTCTCGCGGTGGGTGTTCTTTACGGGATTGAGAGGAAAAGAAAATGTTTGACGCTTGAACAAGGTTGATGGGTATGGAGGATCTACCTAGGAGGGTCAAAAAACCCTGATTCCAAACTATTGGTGCCCATTGGCTCCAGGATCCTGAGGAAGCAAATGGAGTATGAACTTATTCTTGGTCACCGGCTAACATGAGACCGCATCTCCTAACGCTGCTCCACTGCCTTGTGGGCTAGGTTTCTGGGTCAAACGCTCGGGATGTAGTCCTCTAAGAAAACCACCTCCTACGATTCGGAAACCCGGGCAGTACTCCAGCCCATACACAAAATATAGTGCGGAGCATATATATTTTTGTGCGCGTTTATACCAATGTCTGTGTTTAAATAAATAAAATATCATCTTGTTCAACAATAAGAAACCATATTTAACTCTCATTAAGGTTTTATCAACTTGAAATACCTTTGAGGTTGTGTAAAATTATATAAGTTAATTACATGGTAAACAAACATTTCATTATGACTGGTTCTTTAGTACATGGAGCGATAAATTTCGAGTGCATAGTCTTTTGTCATACAATACGTATTTTAATGAGTATATTCTTCACTGCTGTCTCCTGAGTCTAATTAACAGTTACTTAGGACTATTATATTACAACAATACATGACACTATTTCTAAAGATACTTTACCATGAGACTGTGAGGCTGCATAAAGATTTGGATTATTCACTTTTAATAAGTACAGTTTAACTGAACTAAAGACTAACAATAATGGCTCAAAATGGGCATGTTATGAAATAAATCACACTATGTTGATATCACACCAGATAGTAATTTGTCATTTCTGGTTTTGCTGTTCTTTGTAGTGGTGAGAGGTAGTCACTACAATCTTCAGGTTATTTTATTTTGCGCCGTATGGAAACTGTTGTGCGAAATACATAGATTCAAACAAAATTACGAATTCAGAGAATGACTTTATCGCAGTTAATAGTTAGTGGATGATCACATGTGGGTATTTTATACATCTATGGAGTTTTATTAACACTTACTGAACCATGAAGATATGAATCAGTATCAAACCAATGATCTCGCAATAGTACATTCAAATCCTACTAAATATGTGGAATTCGGGATACAAAAAGATGTTTTCCTCTTCATAACACTTAACAATTGGGCACCACAACAACTAGTTACTGATTAACATTCAGTGAGCACCAATTAATACTTAGTTGATACAATGCACGTGAAAATCATAACGAGAAAATAAAACCGAAATAAGAGGTATGACGTTAACAGTAAAAAGTAAGGTTTCGTAATGGGGATTTATTTTCCAGTATGACCCATCGTCGTTAGACGTTAAAAGACCCAGAATTTCTCATGGAATTAGGGTTGAAGTTTGTAACAGGATAGCGAACTCTAGAAAACGAACATAAAATTATGACCCTCGAACAAAAACATTTCCTGGATCAAACAAAAGGCGATTTTAATTGGGACGAATCTATCCGTAAAACCTTGTGCTGAAAAATCTGAAATTTCAGCCTGGTGGTGTAGAAAAGCCATACGGCTGAGAATATTTCGTACAAGACAGATTATGTTGAAATATGAATAAATGAAAAAGCTATATTAAAGACTTAGAGTATGAATACAATTACTGGAAATGACAGCTAGGACTTACTTCACTAGTAAGGATTCGATCTAAACATGAGCGGCATATTGTATGTGAACAAGGTAATAATTTGGCAGCACGTTCACTTGAATTATAACCGCTGAAACACGTACCACACGTTAAAAAATTATCTGCGAAGTCGTCCACATTAATCATAACAGTTTCCACTAGACGGGATGACATCTAAATATAAGTGAAACAAATTGTGAGCAGTAGTGAGATATCATATCCTTAAATAAACGATTCGCGAAATTAGAAGCTTCCTAAAAGTTTGCAAATGATTAGATGAGTTGACGAAAGTGAATAAATCAGATGGTAATTTACAAGATTATTTCATCATACTACTCCAACTGTTATTATTTAAATACATTATTTCCAGTCCTAGTCCCACAACATTTGTAAATGTAGGTTAATCTCTTCAATATTTGCTAAAATGAACAAAATATGAGGATTAAATGACCCTATAGTCCCGATGGGATTCACAGGACCAAAACGGTGGCTAAGGTCGGTAATAGGACTAAAAGCATGGTCACTAAGAAAAGAAATAGAATAAGTCGAATGTATTACCGTTTATTCAATGTTACTACGGAAGGATCAGAAATCGTTTCATGAAGGTGCTATGATCATCAAGGACCAGTCCTAACAAACAAACCTTAGTTGATTCAAGGGTGAGAAACCTACGAATTAATCTCCCTCCATTATCTGAGACATTTTGTTATAGTTCTTTTGTCACAATATCATACAAACAAGTATACCATTTCCTTACAAAAAAGCCCATTCTTCTGGCTAATGTCCTTTGGGAGCTAGAGGGCTTTCCAACGTCATGGAACGAATCGATAGTTGTCCCTATCTTTAAAAAGGGTTCACGCTATTCCTGTAACAACTATCGGGGTATAAGTTTACTTCCGATTGCGTCCAAACTATTGACTTCTATCATTCTTCGTAGGTTGTTTAAAACCGAGAACAATTGAATCGCGAGGAGCAGGCTGGTTTTCGTTCTGGTCGACGATGCATTGACCATATCTTCACTCTTCGCCAAATGTTAGAACACCGTCATACTTATCTCAGGTCAACAATCGTAGTGTTTCTTGATATCAGGGCGGCGTTCGATTCGTTGGACAGGACTGTTCTCTGGGATTGTTTATTGAAGAAGGGTGTGCCTGAGACATTTATTAACATCTTAAAGGCCCTGTATACAAACACCTCATGCAGAGTGAGAGCATACAACCACCTTTCTCCATTGTTCCATTCAAGCAGTGGGGTTAGGCAGGGTTACCCAATCTTAACATTCCTCTCCAACTTCGCCATCGACGACATCCTGGAAACAGCTCTGATGGACGTGAGTAATGGTGGTGTGGATCTGTTACCTGCAGAAGGACTTCTCGACCTTGAGTGTGCGGATGATATTGTCTTACTGTGCGATAATGCCCAAGACATGCAATCCGCACTTAATCAGTTGGCAATCAATGTCCGCAGGTATGGCATGTGCTTTGCACCTTCAAAGTGCAAAGTACTCTTACAAGACTGGCAGGATTCTATTCGAGCACTCACCTTGGGTAGTGAGCAGATTGCAGTTGAGAAGTTCGTGTATCTAGGTAGCTATATAAGTGCTGGTGGTGGCGTGAGTGATGAGATTGATGCACGTATAATGAAAGCCAGAGCGGCTTATGCCAATCTGGGCCATCTTTGGCGCCTTCGTGATGCTAGTCTGGCTGTAAAAGGTCGGATCTACAACGCGTCGGTGAGAGCAGTTTTGCTCTATACTTGTGAAACTTGGCCTCTCCGTGTTGAGAATGTTGGACGACTCTCTGTGTTCGATCATCGTTGTCCCCGAAGGATTGCTGACATCCAGTGGCAACACCATGTTAGTAATGCAAAGGTTCGGCATCGTGTGTTCGGGTGCAGAGATGACACCCCATTGGTGTCACCATCTTGAAACACCAACTTCGGTGGCTTGGACGTGTTCTACGAATGTCGTCCCAGAGAATTCCACGTCATGCATTATTTGCCGACGCTGGAACTGGTTGGAAAATGAGGATAGGTGGTCAGTGTATGACACGGTGTCGTGTTATGAAGGAAAGCTGCAAAGGGCTGGCTTCTGTTGGTCCTTCACGACTCCCTGGCTGGGGTCCGAGAGATGGTGCTACACAATGGCTAGAGACGTTATCAGATATGGCTCAGAATTGAAGTCAATGGCGATCGTGCTGTAACCTTCTTTTATTTTCTGCATAAAGAGTGGTCATAACCTCCTTAACTGTGAGAGTTCTTCTGGTTGTACATTTCAGTTTCCCCCACCATCAATCTTTTTTCATATATGCATCTTACCCCTTTCCCTTCTCATTTTCATTGTTTTGTGTGGTACATATACATCTGGTGCCCTCTTGCACCAATATGTGTTTAAATAAAATAAAATATATTATGTCCTTGTCACGTCACAAATTCGGGGGCGTGAGTAAACTATCTGTTATCATGAGCAGTCACCATTCAGACACACGGAGTACCATTGTGTATTGTCTATTAACCACTATCTCGCTTCCTGAATTTAACGACTGAATCTGAAATCCCACACCATAACGAACTTATATCACATTTAGATTTAAGACGAGTCAGACCCATAAGTGAGCTTCCGCAGATCAGTCTATGTTTGACTATAATCTTTTTTGACTGATGCTCACTTGCTTTAATCATAGGGATCAGAAAACTTCAAAACTACATGCTACCATTAGATTTTACTGAGGAATGGATTTAATTTACAAGTATTTGTTCCCATTGAATAGTAATTCATCTACAGCTCTTTCATAGTTATGAACTCAAAAACTCGGCAAAATTATCGACCGATGGTCGAATTTCTGTCTCCCAAAAACTAAGTGCATCATGTATCTTATAAGTTATGGTTACTTATTGCAACCTGTTGAAAATTTTAAGGGTTTTGGTTTTAGTCAAAGCTACTACATTATAATTACTTTAAGGAGACATGTGAAAACATTCATAAAAAGGTGCACTCTTTAGCAAGATATCCACCATTGGCTTAACGTGCACCAATCATACAAAGTAGATGGGAATTAATATTCGTCGATAATCGACTAATGCGTTTTCGTTTATTTACAATGAATGGAAGACGTTTATACTGCCGTGCGATTTATAAAAAAGAAGCCAACTAACTTACGCAACCAGGATTTTGGAATAAAATGTCTCATTACCTGAACATGCTGCAGAAGGTACAAATGTGTATCATTTGAATTTAGTACAAAACTCAAACTAAAAAAATAAAGTCCGGAACTAATAATCAAGCTGCCTGTTAGTGTCCCTTTATCTACGGTACGATGATAAAGCTATATGACTTTGTGGTCTTTTATGAAAATATACTAGTGAAAAATTCTTTATTATAAACTCCATTATAGTGGAGTTGTATGAAGTATACTTCATACAAGTCGGGTTAAAATTTAATTTGGACACAGTAAAGTTTTAACAACTCTGTGATATATATTATATGTTAAACTGGGGTGGAAAGCCAAGATAAACTTAAAAGGAATATACATACCATTGATGAGGTCATCACCTAAGGGACAAACCCATACGCGACAAGCCAATCAGGTAGCGAGAATCAAACAACCCGCAGCAATAAACAGTGTTCAATGGAAATCCTGTGGATTACAGGGTATTTTCTACTTAGTTGTACTAATTTGACTGAATAACTTTTTGAGCTGTACAACCTAACCGTATGCATGTTTTCATATAACTCCGAATCACAATCCTTATGGTTAGAACTGTAATCTATCCTACAGTTTCAGTTTGGAAAGGATGGGAGGCTAGGTTGCCTGTGTTAGTCCTGGCAATGCTGGTCTCTCAGTTGATCCAACTTTTTTTGAAAGAGCTGACAGATGGGGCTTCAATTGCATGTTGAGGTGATGAATTCCACTCGTTGATGATTCCACGTGAAAGTCGATAGTCAGCTGAAAAGTAATTTGTCCTGGTCTTGTGAACGTTTTTGGAGTGTCCTAGTAAATTAGCTGTTTTGGAAGACAAAAAGATGAGGGTATATCAGGTAATTTGAGAACCATACTAAAGTCACCTCTAGTTCTTCGGTACGACATTGGGAATAGGTTTAGTTTAGCAAGTCAAGCGTCATACGGGAGCTTAGCTATTCCGAGGATCAGCTTAGTTGCCGTTCACTGAACCTTTTCCCAAAGCTCACTGTCTTTTTTTAAGCAGGTAGCTCTATGCTATCGCCCTTGCTTCCTATTACTCTCCATATCTTGACATCATCAGCATATAGCAAGGCCAATGATGATAGGAGACGAGGGAGGTCAAATGGTTCAAATGGTTGAGGATGGAATAGAAGAAGCTTTCGCTTAACGGGCTTCCGTGTCTGGTAGCAGTGGATCACCAATACCTCCAGGCAAGAACCTAGGTATAGTAACGATAATAGAGGGGAAAAAATTTGGTAAATCATAATAATGTGTTATCCTTAGTCCTTAAGAATAAGTTAAGTTTCCTCTTAAAGGACACCTGGGAGGTCGCTTGGACTAGCTCAGTCGGCAGCGAATTCCAGCACTTGACAACTCTAACGGAGTAGAAGTTGTGTCTGCAGTCTGTTCTGCTATGTAGGGTCTCCAATTTCTGGGTGTTACCTCTGAGGTTAGTGTTATGACCAAGCTTAAGAAGTTGTTTAAGGGGATGACCAGAAGTATTAAGGATACTATAAGTCATAAGAAGATCACCTCTAAGACGCCTGTACTCTAACGGGTAAAGGTTAAGTGATTTGAGGCGCTCTTCATAAGGTTTGAATTTGAGTCCCCGAACTGATTTCGTGGCTCCACGTTGTATACGTTCCAGAGTGTCCTTATCCTTTTGGAGGGAGGGAGGAAATACTATGTTTCCGTACTCTAAATGGGGACGAATAAAACTGTTGAAGATTATGTGAAGGGTTCTTCCGTCAAACTGGCCAAAAATGCGCTTCAATGTTACCAGTGCAAGGTTTGTTTGAGAGGCGTTTTTGTCACAGTTCGCATACGATTTCAGGTCATAGGGTACCAACACTCCTAAACCTTTTTTAGCTTGGGAAACTTCTAGAGGGGAGTTATCTAAGTTATAACTATAGTCTGCAACATGTCTCAGATGGATTACTTTGCACTTTGAAGTTTTGAAGGTAAGTCCGTTGTCGTCTGTCCAACTTTGAAGTCGGGTCACATCCTCCTGAAGAACTAGTATATCATTATGATTACGTATCTCTCTCTCTCTAAAGATTCACATCATCAGCAAAAAGCAATAAGTCAGATAAAACTTGTTGAGGAAGATCGTTAATATAAATCAAGAAGATAAGAGGTCCTAGTATTGAGCCCTGGGGGACCCCACTAGGACATTCCATATCCTGAGAGAGAGTAAAGTTAACCCTGACCTTAAAGTGTCGGTTTTCGAAATATGAAGAGAGCCAATCAATCAAAGGGTGTTATATACCCAATCGTTCAAGCTTCTTGATAAGACATGCTCGGTTGACCCTATCAAAAGCTTTTGAGAAGTCCAGGTAGATGACGTCAACCTTCTCCTTGCGATCAAGGATGGTTGCCCATCTATCCACCGCAGTCAGCAGGTTCAGTCAGTCAGTCAGTTACAACGTAGAACTTAGTACGTACGTACATCAGTTCAAGTTGCCATACCACATTAGCACAGAGATGCAGTTGTCGATTCAAATCCCATAGTGGTAGAAGTAGTGAGAGTATAAGCAGTAATCCGAAAGATTAGGGTTTGAAGATGTTATTCAAGGAGTATAATACAATGAAATAAATTTGGAAAGAGAAAAAGGATACAGACATGAAGAATTCAGAGGATTAGAATTTGGAAGAACACAAAGAGTGGATGCACCTTCGCCATTGCAAACGATTTTGAGCCATGTCATTCAAGGTCTCTAACCATCGGTTGCTATCATCTCGCGAATCCCAAACAGGTAGTCTACACCTACCAACATGGCTCAGTTCACTTGTCAGTGACTTCATGGATTTATGCCATGTTTTGGTCTGTCCGCCCCAAGCTTTCTTCCAACCTGCTCCTACACCATAAAGCATTGCACGTCGGGGCAGTCGGTGGTTGGGCATACGTAACACATGTCCCAGCCATCTCAACTGATGAAGTTTCACTACTTCATCAATCGATTTTTCATCCTTACCTAGTACCCGTTTCCTAACATCTGCATTACTTACTCAGTGGTCCCAGGATATACGAGCAATGCTTCGAAGACACCTATGATCGAATACTAGTGGCCTACGAATATCCTCTACTCTTACCGACCATGTTTCACTACCATAAAGTAGGACGGAACGAACTGCTGCACAGTAAACCCGTTCTTTTGGTTGCTATACGGATATCTCTCCTACGCCATAAATGACGCAAGTTGGCGAAAGCTAGACGAGCCTTCTGTATCCGTGCTGAGATTTCGTCTCACACCAGACCATAAGGGCTGATGAGACTCCCAAGATAAGTGAAGCTGTCAACACGCTCAACTACTTCACTCCCTATCATTAGTTCAGGTGTCGATGCAACCCAATCCTGAAGTAATATTTTGCACTTCGAGGGAGAGAATCGCATCCCGAACATGCGTGCGTAGTTGCTTATAGTGGTTAGAAGACTCTGCATTTTGTCAGAGTCTTCACCGAATGAAGCTATGTCGTCGGCGTATTCTAAGTCAACAAGTGAGCCTCCTGGTAAGAGTTCAACTCCAGGAGATTGAGATGATGAAAGTGATACCTCTAAAAGCATGTCAACGAGAAATTTAAACAAGAATGGGGAGAGTGGACGACCCTGACGAACACCACTTGAGGTAACCAATTCTGATGACAGTTCGCCATAGGCTCTAACTCGACCAGTTGGGTTCGAGTAGAGAGCCTTTATGAGTTTAATGTACTTCTTTGGTACTCCTTTCACTGACAAACACTGCAATAGAACCTCACGATCAACGGAGTCAAATGCCGCCATAAGGTCAAGAAATACTACTATTGTGGGACGTCTGAATGTATGTCTATGTTCTAGGACCTGACGTAGAGTGAATATTTGGTCTATGCAACCACGTCCAGGTCGAAAACCAGCCTGGTTATTCTCTAGTCTGTTCTTCACGAGCTTTGGTTAGGCGACCTAGTATTATTAAAGCTAATATTTTAGAATCTATATTAGTCAAACTGATTCCTCTGTGATTGTCACAGGAGGACTTTTGTCCTTTCTTATAGACTGGCACAATCAGTGATTGGGACCTGTCATATGGAATTACGTCCAGTTCCCAGATTCTACCTAAGACCTCAGTCAATCTCGTTGCTAGTACTGGACCACCATCCTTAAAAATCTCAGGGGTAAACTTGTCAGGGCCTGCGGCTCTCCCTCGCTTTAGATTTCCTATAGCTTTTTCAACCTCGTAGAGAGTTGGAGGACTTACCTCAGCAGGTTGGTCATGCAAGAATGACCTTTTCTGAAACCATGCTGTTGAGGTGAGAATAACTTTGAGGATGATAAGTATTATTGTATACCGTCATATATTAGGGATTCCATAATTTTGGAAGGTATGGAGAGAAGGGCCACTGGTCGGTAGCTTGAGGGCTCACTGCGTCGACCTCCTTTGAAAATTGGTGTGATATGAGCCAGCTTCCATATTTCCGGTAGTTTGCCTCTGCTTAGCGAGTGTGCAAACACCACGCTAAGTGGTGTCGCCAGGATTGAAGCTGCTTCCCTCAATACAGCGGAATGAACCATATCCGAACCGGGAGAAGTGTCCTTTACTTAGATGCTGCAGTTTACGGAGCACCAGGTCAGCACTCAGGTCCACTTCGGAAAGTCCTGTAGAAGTGCAGGTGAAGCTTTCGTCAGTATCGTTGATGTGGGTCAGCTGGAATGTCTGGAAGTGTTGTTCAGCTAAAAGGTTAGCGGCATCACCGTCGTTATTGGTCTGGCCATTAGGACCTAGCAGTTGGGAAACTCCAGTTTTGCCTTGTCGAAGAGAAGCTGAGTAACTGAATAAGCTTTTCAGATTGAAGACCAATTTATCGATAGGCTTGGTCTGGAACTGAGGCCTGTCTTCTCTTATTGCCTTTGTGCATATGTTCCTTATATGTGTGCATTGCCTGTACGCGCCGTTGTTATCAGTTCGTTTATATTTAGCCCAACAGTACCTTTTGCGGCTTAGCAAACGACGAGTGCGGTCTTGATGATTTGAGGTTGTTTGTAGCTTTTTGGGACCATTTGAGGAACTGAATGCTTAGTAGCACATAAGATCGTGTGCAGTAAGAAATCCCAATGAGCATCCACTTCAAGTTGAGGGTGAACATCCCAATCCACCTGTTGTAGATAGTCCTGTAAAGCTAACACATTCAACCGTTTGAAGTTCCAGCGCTTGTTGCTAGTAGGATATCGTAGCTCCGTCTTGCTGACAAAGCTGAATGATAAGACGGCGTGATCACTTTTCCCCAGGGGAGACAGGATTGAGAGGTCGTAATTAGGAATTCTTCACTTGTGAATACCCAGTCTAAGCGCGACGGCGTCTGACTGTTTCTCTAACGGGTTGCCGACTTCACATTTTCGAATAATCCCAGGTCACCGATAAGGTTGAAGAACAGAGCTTCAGTATAGTTGGCACCACCAATGTATGTATGTTCCACGAATTTGATTCTAGGAAGATT